AAAAAAAAAACCAGTCGTGGCACAAACTACCGTTCGTCGCGTTCAAGGATCCCGGTCGGTCCTCCATGAAAGAGGGAGCGAGGCAGCCAATTTGGGGAAAAGAGATGTCTGCGAACGTCTTGTCAGCTTTCTACGACATGGACATGCTTTATAAGGTAAACTTAAAACGCTGGAAGTGGGGTTTTTTTGGCGGGGTTGGGGGGTTTTATTCGCCCTGAAATGGCTCCCAGCTGGCTCGGTTTGAGAGCGCGCGCGCTCGGATGCAACAAGTTGCTCGCGTGCAAGTTTGCAGGCAGCTCGTGGTAAGAGTGGAACTACGGTGCTAACTTCTCCCTTTCCCCTCTCTGTGTGTCTCTTGTTTCTCCAGCAGCAGGAGAAAAGCATGAACATGAACGCCCTCCACATCAACAGCATGCTGGATAAGAAAGCGGTGGGCGCCCCGGTCACCGCCCCGGGCTCCGACGCCTCCTTCCCGTCGAGATTTTTCCGCCGAAACTCGACGAGCAACGTGGAGGCGATGAACAACGGCAACAAATACTCCATGGGCTCCTACGGCAGCCTGAAGGAGAACACGCCGAGCGGCAACGGCAGCGCCACGGCCCTCATGAACAAGGAGAACAAGTTCCGCGACCGCGCGTACAGCGAGAGCGGAGAGCGGGGCGTGCTCCAGCAGAAGCCCGGCTCCCAGATCAACTCCACCCGCTACAAGACCGAGCTGTGCCGGCCCTTCGAGGAGAACGGCTCGTGCAAGTACGGGGAGAAGTGTCAGTTCGCCCACGGCTACCACGAGCTGCGGAGCCTGTCCCGCCACCCCAAGTACAAAACGGAGCCGTGCCGCACCTTCCACACCATCGGCTTCTGCCCCTACGGGCCCCGGTGTCACTTTATCCACAACGCCGACGAGCGGCGGCCCGCGCCGCCCTCCAACGCGAACGTGCAGTGCGGGGAGCCCCGGTCGGCTCGCGAGATTTGCGGCTACGGCCAGCGAGACTTCCTGCCGCCGCAGCAGCAGCTCGGCTACACCCAGAGGGACCGACCAAAGCTCAACCACAGCCTCAGCTTCTCGGGCTTCTCCACCCACCACGGACTCGAGTCCCCCCTGCTCGACAGCCCGACCTCCCGGACCCCGCCCCCCCCCACCACGGCCTCCTCCTGCACCTCGGCCTCGAGCTTCTACGACGACGTCCTGTCCCCCAACTGCCTCAACAGTGCCTTCTCCTTTCCCGGCCAGGACCTGAAAGCCCTGCTCGCGCCCCTGGCCGTGCACACCCCCGGCGGCTACGCCAACAACCACCACTCCGCCGGTAGTGCCTACTACGGGAGCGCGCAGAGCGGCGCGCGCCCGTCCTCGCCCCCGACCTACAACATGAGCCACTTGCAGGTGCTCCGCCGCCTCAACGAGTCGCCGGTGTTCGAGCCTCCCCCCAGCCCGCCAGACTCGCTCTCTGACCGGGAGAGCTACGCGAGCGGGTCCCTCAGCTCTTCCGGGAGCCTCAGCGGGTCCGAGTCCCCGAGTCTGGACGCTGGCAGGCGTTTGCCAATCTTCAGCAGGCTGTCGATTTCAGACGACTAATTATGTAATTTTTTTTTTTTTGTTCTTACGGATTATGGACTGGTCAGGTGAAGTTGGTGAGGGGGGGTGTAGGTGGGTTGGCTAAGGAATCAGGATGGGGGGTGGGGGGAGTTGTTGAGTGAGACTGGCCTTTCAAGCAGAGGATCCCAAGTTTAGCTCGCCCACCTCCCCGCACTTGACCCCATTTCAGCCTTCTCCACCGGGCTGATGTGCCTTTCTTTTTTCCAAGCGAGACTCTGAGCACCCCACCGGCTCCACGGGTGCTAAACCCTGCTCCAACCTCCCTGGAAGGGGGCAAGAGATGAGTTTGGCCCGCGAGGATGAGTAAAGCTCCACACGGCTTCAAGTGTCCTTGCCCTGGCATTAGTGTAGTAATGATTTTTTTTTTTGTTGTCCTTGTATGTAATATAGTTGTATTAAAAACTTAGATAGCAAACAGAAGGCATTCCATCAGTGCCTTGCCCAAGGGCTCATGGCAGCCCCCTTTTTTCCCTTATTGCTCTATCAGGCAAGCCATGCTTTTCCTGGGATTAGATGTGTGTAACATGACTTGACAAGAAGAGACTATAAGCGGTTTCAGATTTCCTCCCATCCTGCCAAGAATATGCCTTGACTTAAAGTAACATTTTTCTTCTTTTTTTTTTCTTCTTCTTCTCTTTTCCTCTCTGAAAGCTTCAACTTCCATTCCAGATCTGCCTTCTCCCAGCGCCACCCAGTGGTTCATGTAACGTGTTGCTTGGTTAAAAAGCGCTCTTGAGTTGGGTTTGTTTGGGGAAATCACTGCTGATGGTTGAATATATATTTTTTTAGCTGTTTTTTGAGTGATTTACATAGCGGTGCATAACTGGCTATGGACTATTTAACTTATTTATTATCTTGTGAAAAAAAGTATAGGCTACATTGGTAATTTGTGTCCATACTGTATTTATCAAGTATGATGAAGCAATAGATCTATATTCTTTTATGTTTAAATTATGATCGCCATTATTAATCTGCATAAAGTGGAGTGTATGTTCTTTTCACAGTAATATATATATTGTTTTTTCTCTTTTTTTTTGTAACTTCACTTGGTTATTTTTATTGTAAATGAGTAAAAAAAAAAATCTTAATTTAAGAGAACGTATGTGATATTTATTTCATTAATTTTGTTTCCTTGTTTACGTTTATTAAAACAAAAGTTTGCGTGATTGCTGTTTGCTCCTGAGGTTGTGTGTCAGTGCTGTAGAAGGGCTTTTTTTTTCTTCTTTTTTTCCCTCAATCCCTATTTAGATGTTTCTATAGAATGTATAGAGGTTGTACAGACCGTCCAGACCTTACTTTTTGTTGATCTAGATCAGATATTAAGTGACAAAGAACCCAAGTCAATAAATTAACCAAAAAGTATTTTCTTTTTTTTTTTCTCTCCTGTTTGCACGAGGTCACACTGTGATTCCAGCCACGTGCTAAAGAATGTAGCAATCCCTTGTGCCCCAGTATTATTATGTAGTGTCTATGGGGTTCATCATCTTTACATGCCTTAAAATTAACCAAATAAAGTATTTTTCCTACATGGCATATTTTTTTATATTCAAGTTGAACTGAATGTAGTGTTGGATTCTGATACTTTTTTTTTTTAAGGTTGTTACCACTCAGAAACTCTGACAAAACCAACCGTGAACCTTGTTTAAGTCCCCATTCCTCTTTTGATGGCCTTCCTAATGTGTGTTTTTTCTCTATCTTCTTTTTATTTTTGTTCTTTTTTTAATTAGAAATCTAGTCTTGAGAGTTTGCTGGAGAGGGAAGTGGATGAACGTTTGGTTTGTACATAGTAGGTACAGGGGGATGCGCACTATGTACTTTTGACTACTTTATCAGAAGTAAAGCTTTTTGAATGTAACAAACGGACAAAAAGACAACGAGAGTTGTAATAAGTTTTTTTGTTTTTGGGGAGTCAGTTCACTACAAATTGAGTGTGAGACTGTTAACTTTGTACTGTACATTTTTTTGTAGTTCTCCCAATAAAAAGTCATTTTGAAAAAAAAACAAAAAAACATTTGATTGTAGTTTCGTAAGTGTGATGTCACCACGTGTGCTGCCCTCCTAACACTAGTCGGACCTGGACCCAGGAAAGGGTGGCTAACCATAAAGAAACCCATCCCCCTAAATCCCAGGCTCCCGCATGAGCTGCAGGTTTCAAAACATTACAAAAAAAAAAACCTCAGTACCAACTCAACTTTGAACCTAAACTTTGTTCTGCTGCCTGTTCGGGGAGGATGAGGGATGCTTCTGCCTTATGGGTGGAACGGGGGGGGTTGGAATTTTAAAACGGAATGTGTTCGGGCGTGCAGAGCCACAGGAACGTCGGCTAAATGTGTTGATGGGCACCGGTTGAAGAAACGATCTTAATCTTTTTATAAGTCCAGCTCTATGGCGGTCTCGTGGCATAAAGGGCCTCTCCGAGTCCTTGGAGGACGGCCAGGGGAAGTTTATACGAAGCTGGTGTGGTAGAGGAGCTCAGGCGATTGTCTTATGTGTCAATACAGTAAAGTAATCAGAGATTATCAGATGGTTTTATGGAGAATCTTGCATCGCTCTGTGTCAGAGCATTAAAGAGTGGGCAAAGTTTTACAGCAGCCACTTTAGGGTCACCCACTATTGTCAAGTTAGGGTTACGAACTTAGGCTTACGAACATACAGAAAAATCGCGAAATAAGTCTATACGCGCTGATAGAGTACAGTATTTTCATCTGAACAACTGAATATGAGGCAACGCAAAAATCAATTGGGTCAGAAATGAGTATTTAACAAACTCCTGGGCTTTAACCTCATTGATAGGACTCCTCAAATCTGCTTGACTCATAAGTGGTCCACCAGAAGGCCGTTGTGTGAGAGATATCGTTGTGTGCTGAAGTTAGAAATGAATCTATCAACCCTAGCCATCAGTTCATAACTGATTAACTTCGCAGCTGTAAATGTGTTTCTACTATCAGTCACCCGAGCGGCCGGAAAAAAAAAGGGATGAAGGTGAATTTTGTCCTCTAACCGGGGCGTTACGTTGGCCTACGTCTAGACTAGAATTCAGTGACTGGACCGAAAGCCCGGGGCCTATTCTTTCAACGCCAGGGCCTCGGTTGTTGTTGTGCCTGGATTTCCAGGAGCCTTTCAAAGAAGGACAGTTTTTTTTTGTTTTGTTTTTTGACGTGGGGGCTGCTCTGGCCGGTTATCGTCAGTAGCAAAGGCATTAAGAAAATAAAGGGGCCGGGAGTCATGTGGTGCTTGGAGTTCACGCCAAGATAAGGCAGGCCGATAAGAGCCTTGGCAAATATTTACTGTGTCCTCAGGATTTCATAATGAAGTGTTTATCGGAGCAGAGCCACAGGGCTGCACAATGCGCCGGGGCCTTGCCAAGAAGGATACGCGTACCTGTGACTCAGTGTGTGTTGGAACACAATTGTGTGTGCGTGTGTTTGTGTGTGTGAGAGAGAGAGAGACTCTGCATTTCAATCAGCAAACACTTGAGGTTTGATCAAATGTATGAAAGTCATATATACGTTGTGTCTTGTAAAAGATGGACTTTCTTGTGTGGAGGATGTGTATTGGTGTATGCGCGTGAAGGGGTCTTGCTGGTTAATGGGTTCTGGAGCTGCTACAATGAAAGGAAACACTCTCTGACTTGTGATTAGGACAGGAAGAGTCCCGCTTCCTGGCCACCACCCATTTCCACCTCTTCTTCGTCCTGCTGTTTTTTTTTTCTCCTCCTCTGTAGTGGCGGCCGGCGGCTTCTGGAAGTTACTATTTGTGTTACACTGCTTCTCTGGGAAGCCAGGCGCTCGTCCTGGTATTGTTTTGGCATCCACAGCCCAGACCCGGGGGTCAAGTGGTAATGGCATATAACTTTTTAGACTTTGTTGTAGAATATATGGCTGCCAGATGGGTGGAAGATTGCCAGAAATCAGGCAGCAGAGGTTGTTAATTTTTATTTTTGGGCTTAAAACTCCCAATTAGTCTCTGATAAGGCCTAAACCTCCCATTTAATCAGTTCTATCCTGCGGGCTTTGTGTTTTGAAATTCATAAAGAAAAGTGGGTTTAAGCAAATGTTTCCTCATTTTAATGAGCTATAACTGCAACTAATACCTATAGTGAAAGTTCAATTTCTCTTTCAAACAGGGAGAGTTCCCTTAACTGCCTCTTGGCACCATTGCCCCATGACTCTGGCTTCATAAATCAACCCTTGAAAGTCCCTTCTGTGCTTACCTGTGACTGTCAACTTTATGTGACCCTATTCCGACTCAAGAACCAGACAATGTAGGCATGCGTCTTTGTCTGTGTAGCTGACTTCAATCCTCCCAACTGAACACCAGGCTGCCTGACTTTCTAGAAGTATTTATATAATTGTAATTTAAATTCTAGGTCGTTGGTTTGGTTTCAACATTAGGTCATAAAAAAGGCAGACAACGTCCAAGTCCTACTTAAGGGTCAATAGGAAACTTGCCAAGAAAGATAAGAGAGAGATACAGTCTAGGGTGTTTCATTGAACATTGTGCATACTTAGGAAGTAGGAATCTAGTTAGCTTACAGCACAATAAGTATCACACTACTCCTTGTATACATGAGTCCTTAAAAGAATAAAGTAATTAAATTGCTTGCCTGTTTCAGAAGCTAAAACTAGAACAACAAGAGCAATAGTAGACAGTCACTAAGTTACTAAATCAAATATGAGTCATTTCAACGCCAGCGTCACAGTTAGCAACCACAAGTTACCAGTCACAACCAGAGAGAGTAAATGTAGCACTAGAAACTCATTAATACGTTGGAGTTACTAAAAAATACGTACCTGTTATCTTATGTAGTATCTACAAATATAGCAATGCTCAAGTTACTAAACCAAATATGTGATATTTCAATGCCAAGTTAGTTACCGTTAGCAACCATAAGCTACTAGTCATGACCAGATGGAGTACATGTAGCGATAGAAACTCATTAATACGTTGACCCTACTTTATTTTTATTTTTTTTTTCATTATTTTAGTTACCTGTTTCAGACGCTAATGTAACAACTACAAATGTAGCCAATTCTTAAGTCACTAAACCGAATATCTGATATTGTCATGTGTAGTTAGCAAACATTTAGCACCAGGCCAGACAGTATCACACTGTGTAAATAAATGAGCAAAGCTAATTTACACATTGATTGAGGAACAGATAAATTGATTACTTAAATCCAGTAAAGGGGTTAGCTTTTTGCTGGTGGATTCATTCTGCTCACCATTTTATGTCACAAAAATGTGACTAACGTAGTTCTTCAGGGCCAATTACTATCCTTTAGCCCGTTGCTTTGTTATATGTGATTAAACCATCATTTTCATATCTAGCTATTGTCAGAGGCTATGCTTTAATAATATTAGACGTCTATGTTGGATGCATAGTCCTTATAATCGCCATATCACCATCCACTAGTTACTCAACTCTGAAGTCTCTGTTTTCCACTAAGTCCGTATCCTCTTAAATTATCTCAAAGTGCCACACAGTGAAGGGTATTTTACAAGCAGCCATAATTTTTGTCAGAAGCAAACATTTCTCCTGTGTGTGTTTACACCAGCAAGAGAAGTTTACATTTGCCCCTTCAGCTTGGTTCTCAAATTGTAGGGAGTTTAAAAAAAATAAAAAAAAAAGGACAGTTTTCACTTTATTTTCCGGAAGTGGACCCGGTTCCAGCGCACAGCTGCGGGGACCTCCCTGCTCCGGCGAGGTAAACCAGGGGATGCCACAGTGCATCCATGCTGAATAAGGTCATGTTGTTAGCAGTCGTTTATCGAGCGGGGGGGGGGGGGGTTGGGCCCGGCCTGGTCGCCTTCGGTCGTCGTTTTTTTTTTTTTCCCTACGTCAGCCGTGTTTCTCTCCCTTCAACGCATGCCGAGCTCTAAATATTTACAGAGCATCCTGTTGGAGAGCTTACAGTTTACTCCTTATGCTTGAAGCTCCGCAGTGACAGTGCGCTTGTGTGTGCGCGGTGCAGAAGAGACGCCTCATTTGGTTGTGCGCCGTGTCGGTGTGCATCTGATTCGGATGAGGTACTTCCCTTGGTCTTTCCACAGTTTACGTACGCCTAGGCCCTGGATGTTCTTCACGCTCCTGATTCTAATCTCTGTCGATGGCCTGCTAGCAAAAGTAACAGGTCCTTTGCTTTGCTTTCTCTGCAATGGACAGTTTTGCAGAAATGTTTGTTAAACTTTCCTCACGTCACATCTTAAAAGAAGTTTTCTTTATATTTTACCAAATGCAAGATAAGATAGACTGTGTAAGTACAGTAAATTTCGCAAACAAAGCCTGTTTTAGGCTTACAGACTCATAGCCAAAAGCTGAGAGTCTCCCTGCAGGACGGTTAATGAGGTGCATAGACATGCAAACTTGGCCTGCTTCTAATTCTGTCTCTGAATGCTTCTTTTTTTTTTAGGGCTTAGAAATTTCACAATGCTCTTTCATCTGCCACAGAGAGCTAAATACTCACACAATAATAGATAACATCTCCCTCAGAGCAGAAAACAACCCAATAATCTTCTACTTTACTGAACTACTTTGCTCATAAACAGATTAACCAGACGGCTAAATCCAGTCTTTTACCACAATTAGTCCCCAGTTTTTGCACATTATTTGTTTAATATTTACCAAAGGTTTCAGCTACTTTTATTTCGTCATTTAGGTTTAACTACTAAATATATTAATCTAAGTTTCAACACTAACGACTGACCACATGTGACTGTAATGCTTATACTCTTACAGTCAGGGGAAATGTGGCTTTAAAACTCCTTTTTACTACAGTATGGCACATGATGATGCTCCATGATTGTTGCTATCTTGTCTTTGCATCGTGTCCCCGTGGAGATTGGTTTTCCTGAAGCTCATTTGGCTAATGTTCCCTTTGTTGCAGTCTTAAACGTGGAGACGTTCACTAGATATAGAAAGACGAGGAAAAGCAAACAGCAATGCTCCAGAGAATTGGTACAATTCTACCCAAATACTGAAGGAAAAAAAAGGACTTTGATATGGATT